GAGCAGTGCCGTGTCCGCCAGCGGCTTTGGGAATACAGGGGTTGTACCCCAAAAATTGTGGGAGCAGCTTTTGTTGCTTGCAGAGGATTCTGGAGAGCTCCTTGGTAGGGGACAGAGGGAATGGGAGGCTGGAGTGACCAGCTGTGGCTCCACACTCGTGCTGAGCCAACTCCCCTTCCCAGGAACACAAGTTTGGGGAGGGGGAACACCAGGCTGGACTTGGGAAAACCTCATTTTCCAGGAGAAAGGCAGAAGGTGCAAATAAAGCAGAGTTTTCTTATTTTAGACACAGTTTTCTTATTGAACATCAAAGCTGGGATGTAACAACCAGGAGTAACTCCAGTCTTGGAGGAGATTGCTGACGACAGCAGAGAACTGTGGTGGGGTAAATTTATTTAAAATGGGATTAATTTGTTTAAAAATAAAGCCCTGCAGACATTTTAGATGTTTCCTTTAGTTAATGAGATTTCCATGATAGTTAAAACAATGAAATTAGCAAACAATGCCGTTAATCTCGGATTACAAGCAGCACTAGGGAAGAATTAGTAAAATAAATCAAGAAGATTTAAGGCACTTTGCTCTCCAATAAAGTAACTGGGATGGGAGCTCCATGCTGTGTTTTCCTGGGATTAAGGAAGAGGTGATCAGGATCTGCCTTTAACCTGGAATGTTTGAGTATGGAAATAAAATTTACTCAAACTGAAGCCTTGATTTAACCCATACACAGTAATTACTTATATATGAGCTATCAGTAAATAACTACCGCTGCTTCACATGCAAAAATTCAAATTATTTTCAGTCAAAAGCCTCAAATTAAATCACAGCAACTTTATACACCCCACATTTGGCTGTTCTAACCAGCAGTATGAAACGGGGATAAAAAGACAGCCCAAAACAGGATTACACAGAGCAGCAATAAAAGGAGAAATAATCTTTGAAGAAATGATGGAAGAACAAATTCTAAGGGCATTAAGAAGGAACAAGTCATGGTTTCAATCACAGCCAAGCAGGAGATTGCTAATCTCATGGGTACAGCAGATAAATCTGGGAGGACAACAAATTGCATTTTAATTTATGGACTGAAAAGGTTAATTTTTAATTCCCTCTACTCACTCCAGAAATCAGGGAAATACAGACTGAAACTAATAAACTAATGGATCCTCAAAAACACAGGGAAAACATTTCATTTCCAGGGGGTGCTTTTGGTAGGAATTTAAATGCAATCCATTGAATCCATTAGTTTATTAATTAAAAACAAATTTATTTTTGTTTAGTTTTTATTATTTAAAACCAAAATTTATATTGTGTCCTTTTAAATTACCTGAAATCAAAGGAGCTTCTTGATCAGCCCACAAATGTCTAAAAGGAGAGGAGAGGCTGGTAAGGAGAAAAAGTTATTAAAAATTATTTTAAAACTCTTCTTAGCAATAGTTCAGCAGGGCCTGGTCACAAAACACAATTCTCATCTGCTGCAAAACTTCCAGGCAGCCAAATTTCCAGGCACTGACACTCAGACAACAAATGACTCAACATTTAGAGCGGTTTTCAGCACGAGTTGTGCAATTAGACATAATTATTTATCCCCATTGTAAAGCAGGCCATTGAAACACTGCTCATGTAAAAGGAATTAACAAATGTGTCCTTGTCCTTTCTGCTGACGGTGTCAGCTCTGCAGTAAAATCATTGCCTTGGAGCACAGGCAGCCCTTAAATGCAAAATAATCACAATTCTCCTGAAGTTTTGCTGGATAATTGAGGAGTTTTGTACTTGAGTTCTGAGTTTGGTACAAACCACTTTGGCTTCTAACAGAGGCTTCCCTGGAAACCGTGGGAATCTGTTGGAAGTCCCACCGTGGATTACAGAATGACAGAACCTTGGAGTTTTTAAGGCTGGAAAAACCATCCGAGCCACCACACTGGCAACAGCCCCAGAGCTCTGCAGGTGAATAAATGACAAACACTCATTATGTGCACCTTATAAAAGAGTATTTCCAGAATGCTTGTGCAGCAAATATATCAGCTGCTTCTTTTTTTAAAACAACAAAAACAAACAAACAAAAAAACCCCAAACCAACAACAACAAAACCAACAAAACAAACAAACAAAGCTAAACTGCCAAAATACCGAATCCAGGAACTTTCAGACCTCCAGAGAGAGCCCAGAGTGGAGGAGACACCCAAAGTGGGTTTCAGGGTAAACTTTCCAACAGCCACTGAGCTACTGCAGCACATTTGTTCCACGAAATTAAACAATGTACTGGCAATTTAAAAATCTGAGATGAATTTAAAAGCTGAGTTTAAAAACTGGAGGCAACCTCAATCATTTACAGGAGTGCAGAGAAGTTCAGTGTCTGGCTGGAAAACTCCTCTGGCTCAATTGTCAGGCCAGGCTTCTATTTTTAGCCCAGTAATTAAATTGCAGAGCCTGATGTTTTGTAGAGGGTTAGAAAGGATTCCAAAGGTGCAGGAGAATTCAGCTTGGCTCTTGCTGAATAAACTCTGGCCATCCAGTCACAGCCTGGCCATGTTAAATGAAAAGGAAAACATGTGGAAGAGCTGGACATAATTCCCAGACAATAGGGTGATGTCAAAGCTAAAAAATAAGGAAAAAATCTTGGTGAAGGGTTTTTTTCTGAGCTAAACACAAAGCAGAGTTGTTTGGGTTTGGAGGGAGCAGGGGAGGAAGGACACAGGGGAGGAAATAAGAGGAAAGGATGAAGTTTTCCAGAAAAACTTGCACTAGATTCAGGCTCTTAGAAGCTTCAGGATGGTGCTGCTCCAAGACCAAGGGCTGGACTGATTTAGGATTTTCAAACAAGTAGGACTGCAGCCCTGTGTACAAGGGAAACATTAAATAGTCATGCACAGAACATAAAGCTCTACTAAAATCCAAACCCGGATTTAGCATCTCTGACAAGCTCCAGAATACCTCGAGGAATCCCAACCATCTCCTGCTGCAAAGTGAGAGGAAACATTGACTGGAAAAGGAAATTCTGTCCAATTTGTAATTGAAATGTGCAGTGATGAAACTCCTCTCAAAGTGAACATGAGGGCAGCTCATGCTCTACAGACAACTGGACAATCCCATTAATTATGGGAGTAATTGGCTGTTTGTGCAGCCAAACCCCTCTAACTGCAGCCAGCACAGCTTTGGGGTGAGGGTGTTGCTATCCCTTAAGCCAGGCTGAAGGGGCTCTGGGGGAATCCTGCCCTGGAGCTGCTGCTCCAGCCTGAGCAGGAGCCCATTTGTTTCCAGGATTAGTCCGTGTCAGATGGAAGCACAGGAATAGTGCAGCAGACACAGAGTGAGTGAACTCTTAATCCTGCCTTGGACCTTGAGAAATGAGGGTTTATTTTCCACCTAATGAAACTCTGGACACAATCAGGAATAAAGTCAACCAGAATTAGGCAACTTCTCCTCAAAACAGACTGTTACACAAATACCAATGATGAAATGCCTCCCTCTTATAAATTAGGACTTTTGGGGTTAATTCCTGTTTTCCAAGACCCAGGTGGCCCATCCTTTGGTTTCTGGACTGAAGTGATGGATAAATTTGTCAGATTTTTATCTTCTTGCTTGGCAAGAGGCAGCAGTGAAGTTCTTTCTAAAAGCAGTGCCTCCCTTACCTTCAGGGCTCTCCAAGCAGGAGGTCTGCTTTTGTTTTCTCTTGATTACAAATACTTCATCCATTCCCAACCAACACTTTATACTTGACCAGATTCCTGTAAGCTCCTCAACCTGATTTGGAAGCATCTGTTTCCAATACAATTTGAACTGGAGGACTATTAACAAGATTGGATTCAGACCCCAATCAAGGCAGAGCCCAGGAATTGATGTCATGTGCAGGCTGGCACTGCAGTCCCAGGCAGGGAATGGAGCGGGGGAGCTTTGGGGGCAATAAAAAGTTGATTTTCACAGTCTATCATAGAAAAGCATCTGCAAATCTGTATAGAATGTACTATGAGGGTCGTCAAAATCAAGTTCTGGGGGTTTTTGGGTAAATAAATACTGCCTGATTTATGTTTCCAGCTGGGGGCTGGAGCAGGAGAAAGTCAGGACTTGGTTCATGGAATAACCCCCTGAATCCCACAGTTTGCTCACAGAATGCACTGTCCCATAACAGAGAACAGCAGAATTTGTTTCAGAACAGACCAGAGCCCACAGTTCAGTGTCCCCAGCTCAGTGGGGGATTGTGTTCCGTGGTGCAGAAGGTTTTACCCAGCCCACAAGCTGGGGCTTGGGAATGGCACTGGAATTTCAGGGCCCATCCCGAGGCCAGGGCTGTCTGGTCACTCCTCTGATTGCAGGGCCTTCTGAAATTCCTTTAATCAGAAAGACAACACCGACTGGAATCAGAACTTCTGGGAATCAGAACTCCTGGAAGAGTTCCAGGTAAATCTGGGGAAGAACTTGCTTTTAATCTGGAATGGATTAACACAAAATGCCTGGAATCCCTCCTTGTTCCATCCTGGTTTATGGCTCCAGCTCATGGAGTTAAGCACTGAGATGTTTTCACACATAAACCTACAATTCTTCCTACAGAAAAAAAATCAGAAAATCTCCCTTTTTTGCTCTTTTAAGTGCAAATCCGAGCTCTGGTAAGAAGACAGGTGACTGTAGTGCACAGTCCCAATCCATCCATTTTCACCAGGTGTTTAAAGCCAAGGTACAAAAGTTTCTCCAAAGATTTTGCTTTTTATTTCTTGATCACAAAATGCCAAAGCTCCACCTGGAAAGAGCATGACTAACAATAACTACTACACTGGCTATGAATATATTAAATATAAAAATACCCCAACACCATGTGCAACCCTTACCAACTTTTAGTGTCTACTTACTGACTCCAAGTTATAAATTAACCTGTTCAAAGTAGCTTTAATTTTGGCATTTTCTCTAAACTTGCTGTTCTTGTAAGAATTATCATTATAGAAAGGGTAAAAATTATTGTTCAGCAAGAAGGTTTTATTATCAGGTTAGAAAAAATTGTGAATTTAAAAAGAATCCACTTCATTTCTGATCTATTTATTAGTAAGCCTACTTGAATCTTTAGCTGTAACAGGAAAATGATACCAAAATGTCAAGGAACAAAACTCCAAAGCTCCCAATAAGCCAGGGAAGGTGGTGAAGAAAGCAGAGGACCCAGGAGGATTTGGGTTCTGGCATCTTTAGAACAAGGCTCAGTCCACAGGTGCAGTTTCCCATCAGGGCCAAGGCAAAGAGCAGGTAAAAGGTGCTTTCTGTGCATCTTCTCTGGAGCTAAACACAAATTTTATACACAAATTATTAAAATAACAGTTCTATAAATACAAAGAAATGTTGAAATGTACCCACAGTAGGCAGTTAGAGATAATTTGGGCATTTTGTGGTATAATCCATTCAAAGACTTTCAGTCATTCTTGTCCTGTCTTTCTGGGGCTCTGAATTTCCTGAGTTTCAGCACAAATCACTGAAAATTCAGGAACTGTTACAGTGCTTGGATCTCTGGTTAATGCCATTTTTGTGGGAGTGCAAACAGCAGGGATAATCTGTTTCCAAATGGTAACTAGTGTTTAAGGTATTTATTGCTGTAGCAGGGCATTTAGCAGACGTTTTTTAGAATGCTGTGCCATTCCAGGTAGAGAGGGAATATCAACAGCCTTAAAAAATAATTAATCACTTCCATAATCAGTTAAAATATCTGCATATAATGAACAAAGTAAAATCTTCTGGTCGTTTGATGTGTTTGTTGGGTTTTTTAAAATAGACTGATTTTTAAAAAAAATATACTGATAGTGAAGAGGCTGTGGTGAAAGGTAATGGTACCTTGGCAAAAAGGGACTAAGATTTAAAACTAATTTATATCTAATTGTAACTTTTATTCCCAGGGTGGAATAGTTTGGAGAAAGAAAAGGGGGGATGCCACTTGCTCATGACAACAATCATAGAAAGCAGATTTCTGCTGATAAATCCAGCTGTAAATTCTTCCCCTGCCAATCAATCTTTCTCCAGCAATCAAAGACCAGTGTTTTCCTAAAATTCTCATCATCCTTCTCTGAATAGGGGTGGAAAAAAATCCCATTTTTTTGCAGTGAAAAAAGCAGAGTGGGGGTTTGAGTTGAGGAGGGCTCGGTGTGAGGGAGAGCCCAACACTGGAAGGAACACAAAATTAAATAAACAATTGCCAAAAAGCCACTCACGTTTTTACAGAGCTGAGGGAATCTGCTGCCCAGGAAAACACAGGACACACAGCCACAAATGAAGCCTGGCATTTCAATCAGGTCAGGAGAGCTCTGGACGAGAAAAGCACATGGATTTTGGCAAGAATGCTCGGAGGCATTTCAGAGGATTAAACCGAGAGTCCACGGCTGAGTTTGTGGACAGAACTCCTTTCAGGCAGGGCAGGGCTGCTCTTCAGATGACCAGAGAGGGCTAGGAAGGGTTTCATCTTCATCTCACAACACTGCAGATCAAAACTGCTGCCAGGCTTTGGGATATGACACTGACATCAATCCAGTCCTCCTGCTAAAAAAGCCTGGGCACAATAACTCAAATCAAAACTAAAAACTGTAGCTTGAGCCATGAAAAAAAAAAAAATCCTGTCTGGAGAAAGCAAACTACTCATTTTTCACAGTTTAAGAGTTGCTGGTTTTCTCACTGTGGCTGTGTTTTGAAAATAAGCTGCCTCCCTGCTGGGCTGTGCTGCTGGATTACAATTATTTCCCTGGCATTAGCAGGAGGGCCATCAAACTGCTGGAATGGGCTGTGAACTTTCCTGCTGCACTGACAGCAGCAGGTACAATGGTGATTTTCCACTTTTATTGATTTTTTTTGTGGTCTCCACGTGGATGTTTACAACATTTCCCACAGGCAGAGACACAACATTTATGTTCTGTTAGTTCAGAGCAGTGCATCCTCAGGGCCCGAAGGACACAACAAGCCTGGGAAGCTGCTAAAAGAAGCAATTTTATAACTTTTTTATTTTGGGATGGGTGGGGAAAACATCCACATACATGATTGCTATATCCTTGTTAAAAAATCCTCCAGTTTTTTTTTTTTTTTAAGAACACAAATTTTCCAAAAACCTTCGGGGGGGGATTTTTTTTTTTTTTTTTTTTTTTTTTTAATGGAAACAGGTAAGAATTGACATTATTCCTTGGGATTGCTGGCCTGTGCTGCTGGTTCCTGAGGAGCAGCTGACAGAGGGCAGTGCCACTCAGAGCTCCACACCCCACCATCCAGGCTGTGCCCAAATTCCTCAGGCTGGGACTGCCTGGAATGACACACAAACAAATTAGCTGAAAAAATAACATCTGCTGTTGATTTGAGGTCACTTTCTGTTTGCAGTACAAATATGCAAATGCAAAGGTAGAATTTCATGTCTCTTTTTCTTGGCAGCAGTGGAAGTTCCACCCCTTTTTTCTGGGCTCTGTGCCCAGCCCTGCTCACTGTTGTAGTGCTGAGGGTGGCAGTGGAGGAACTGCTGGGGAACTCCTTGGTGGGCATTGCCCCTGACAGGAAATGTTCATTCTCACCTTCTCTCTTTTATTATGATTATGTATGGTATCTAATTTATGATTAAATAACACCTGACGAACAAAACTGATAAATAGAACAGAATGTAACTTTCATGCTGCACATCTTGATAAAAAAACTGCAAAAGCAAGGATATTTGGAATGTGAATTAGTAAAAGCTCACTAAGATATTGATCACTGTGTCATTTTGGACCAGGCAGTGCCTGTTCCATGCTCCAAAACCTGGGTTTGTGTCCAGAGGAGGCAGCAGGAAGGAAATCCCTCAGCTGTGCTGTATCTCCAGGTTTATTATCATATTATCAGTTCCATATTGAATCTGGTTACCCCCATTTAGTCTGTGGGGAGGCATCTGGTTTACTTCAGCTTTTTGTTACCTCTGCTGTACCATGGATTTTCTTTCCTATTTTTTTTTAAATTGATGCGTTAATGGTTTTGATTTGATACAATATGAAGAGAGCTGTCTTCCATTTCAGACAAAACAGTAGTTCTTGGGCAGGCTGAACATTCCAGCCACCACCAGGATTTGCTCAAGCACAACTCCAGTAATTTCATTCCCTGGAATATGATTTTTTAATGAATATATTGAAACAGAACACATGAAGATGTCAACATATTTTATGCTATAAGCAAATAAAGCCCACATTCAATCAACGGGGAGGAAACCAACTGAACCCCACAAAGAAATGAGGCTTGGTTTCAACTCCCACACATTTCCACAAAAACCATGAAATCAGTTAAAATATAGAACCAGAATCCAAAAATCTATTGCATTTTTTATATCAACTGAAAGTACTCCATGGAAAATATTCACAGATGTGTGTGGGTCAGAAATGAGAAGCAAAGGAAAACTGGAGGCAACAGGTCTCAGAACTCCAGAATTTGTACACTCTATTTTTAGATCCCTCTGAAATAAAATGTATTTAAATGCCGTAGGAAAATCTCTCAGTCAAGGCTGTGCTACATCAGGGAGAACGTTTTATTGTTGTAAAAACTTACCTTTTGTCACCTTCTGATTCTTGAGCTTACAGTACACAAATTGTGGAATCATAATTAGGTCCTTGTTCTCATAAAAAGCAGCAGTGGCAATCTGAAGGAAATGAAACATTTGCTTGTTCAGTAGGCAAGTAATTTGAAATACCTCTCAACTGCACAGAAATGTTGCTTCATAATCATAATGTGCGTGACAAACACCAAATCACTGCCAGAAATAAACATCAGTGTAAATATTTGGGCAATTATGACTTGGTTTATAGATGGCAGAAATAAGAGAACCCTGTGTTAAACACGGCAGGGCTCAGAATGAACAGAGAGCTCACAGCTCTGCTAAAGCCCCTGAACTGGAGAGCTGTGATTCAGATTGACAGTGAGGACTAGGGAGCAATCCCAAACCTGAGCCCACTGGACATACCTCGCTGAACTCCATGCTCACAAACATGACAGCTTTAATGTAAAGCCCTTCTCCAATTAATATTTCAGCTCACATTTCTGCAGCTCAACAGCTGAGCAAGCGTGGTTTTATTTCACTTGAGCTCCACAGCCCTTTTACCAGGCCAGTAAATTAGATCCCCATTATGGGATCAGACTTTGGAGTCAACCCCATTTTTTCCCAGGCATTTTCAGCTGCTGAGATAATTTCCCCTTTTCCTTTGTCATGTCCTACCTGCATTCTGAAAGCTGACCGCAGTGACCAAGTGATTCAGCACTGTGCAAGTGCCAACTCCAGGGCTGCTCCTGACCTTTTCCCAACCCAAACTGAATTGGCAGGACAGGATTGCTGGGAAAGCATGGATTTAAATAAACCTTGAGCCAGCTTGAGCTGCAAGTGCACACACAACTCGGGGTGGAGAAGATAAGAGAGGAGAGGTGATTTATTCTCATTTGCTCTAAGTGGCAGAGATTAGTGTCAAGTCAGTACAACAGCACAGTACATCAAACTCATTTGTCAACCACCAAATATTTTTGCAAACATGAACAACATGCTTCTCTGGCATATTATTCTGTCTGTATTATGCAGATAGAGGAACATTGCAAATATAAAATTAAAAAAAAAAAAGAAAGAAAGAAAAAGAAAAAGGCAGCTTTTGCAAAAGGCTTCAGGCAAGATTACTCATGTTTGAATTTGAGAACTGCTTAAGACTTTCAGCTTAGGGGAGTGCAGCAGGCAGCGAGCAGACAATGGCAATGAGCCCTGCTCCAGCCCTCCCACACATCCCTGGCACATCCTTGCAGGAGGTGCCAGACCCAGGGCGCTCCGATCCCGCACAATCTCCTGCTCTCTGCTGGGGAGCTGCTGAGAGCAGCTGAGGAGCCATCACTCCTGGATGGAGCTCCAATCCCACGAGCTGATTTCTGCCCCCATTCCCAGCCCGTGCAAATCCCCAAATCCGGTTAGGGATGCTGAACATCCTCTGTGCAAAGCCCCGCACATCCAGTCGGCTGCAGCAGCCCCAGTCTCCCGCAGGAACCTGCCAGATTCCAGGGAATAAACACAGCCCCCGTGAACCAGGCATCACCCACACAATGCTCGCTCCTCTTCGCTCATTACAGACACGAGCTGGACTTCCAAGAAACAGAAATACTTTGTGGATCCAATATGTAACAGCCCAGATTTATCACTGCAGCATTTTAGTGTGAGCTCGTGGTGGTCTGTGACAACGAGGGGCCAGAAATCTGCCGCAGGATAAGCTAAACCAGGGAATTTATTGCAATCTAAGACCAGAACTCTGATTTTTCATGGTCAATGTGATGCTAATAAAGTCACAATACTTTCCTTAGAGGTACTTACCCTCTGAACATGCTACTCACTCTTTAAAAATATATTTATACAAAATATTTATCTATCTGTTGGTTCCATGCAATTAATTTGGAGATAATGCTCTGAACAAGAAGTAAGTTATGACTCAGATTCCAGGTGGGCTTTAAAGTCACTAAAATGCATCCAGCCTAATCAGTGACTCAACACAGTGTCAAATAGTTTGTGTCATTGAACACTCCACAGGAAACATGGGAAGCATAAAAAACTTGCAGAAGGCACTTGTAGGGTGATCCTGTCCCCAAAACTCCCTAAATGATGCCACCATTATGCACCAAACTATTCCAATCTTGAAAAAGTTTCAAAATTTGTTTTCACAGAGCATAATTCTCTGTAAAATTAGGACTTACTTTGCTCATCAACCAGAAACTCCTTTTTCTTTCCATGAGACTTCATATTTTTATGGCTTTAAATGCTGGAACAAGTTTCCTGCAGGAGTTGGCTGCCTCTCCAGAGAACTGTCATCATTGGACCTAAACCAATTAAACAATAAAAATACATTTATACACTGAGAAATCACCTGAGCCTGGAGGATATATTCAGTTTATTCTGCTTATACTGGGGAAGTTACTAGATTTTGCAGCCATCTTTGAAAATAACTTTTTAAGTTTAAAAAAATGTTGCATGTAGTGTTTCAAGTACTTTTTATCCCATTCTGGCACTGTGCAGCTGAGCAGACTCATTAAAACAAGACGTGGTATTTAAATTTGATTTTTGGGTTGTTATTATTCAATATTTATGCAGCAGAATATTTGTGTTGCCAGTCCCCGAGACTATAATTTTACTATTACAAAAATTGCTACTTTTCTTAAATCCCTGGCAAAATGTCCTGTCCCAGGAAGAGCAAACCCAGGAATTCCACATGAAAGGAGGACAAGGAGACTGCCAGAACATTTCTTTGTTTGCTGTAGTATTGAAGTTGTCAGTGATGAGAAAAGCACAGGATGGTTTGTGTTGGAAGGGATCTTAAAGATCATCCAGCTCCAACCCCCAAATTATAAAATTATATTAAAAATGGTTTATGTTCCTATAACAATTCTTTGCCTGTAACCTCATATTCTGTCTGAGATTGCTGCTCAAATCCTGGTTACTTCCATATGGAGAAGTTCCAGAGAAGGTGTGACCTGGACCCTTGGCACCATCCCCTTTTCAAAGGTTTAGTGCTTGCTCAGCTACAAATAACACTGTTGTGGTCCAAAGTATTTAGGAATAAGGAATCAGTAACCTGAGCCTCTCGCTTGGACACTTTTTTTTCATTTTAATATCTTACTCTGGAGTGAGTAAACAGAAATAGACAATGGTTTAGAAGTGAAATCTACATGCTTAGGAACAGCCTCCCAGTGCAGACAAGGAAATGCAGGTTTTCCCTGGAATTTGGGAGGTTTGGCACAGCTCCTCTGCCTCTCCAGCTGCTGTGAACATCCCTGTGCTCTGGATGTCAAATACCCAGGACTGCGAGTGATGTATGGGGATGTCAGATGTGTGTTTGGCTGGTGTGCCAAAGGTCTTTAAACTGCAGTTAAGAACAGATCAAGCCCCAAAAGGGGTTCAGTTTTACAGTGTTCATCGCTTAATTCCTGCTGGGGAAGGAAAAGGTGGAGTTGGGCTATGGAGTAACCAGGGCTTCTTACAAGTATACCCTAGTATTAATCTGGTCACTGGATTTCGGCCAAAACTGTTCTCTGAAAGCATTTTAGACACTCCTGGTTGTGAATTCTGCTTGGCCAGATTTCACCTGGAAACCAAGGCCAGTTCCCAGAGAACAACCTCAGTTTATCTTAACGTGGGATAGTGGAAGGTGTCCCTGCCCAGGGCAGGGCTGGAACGGGATGAGCTTTACCATCCCTTCCAACCCAAACCAGTCCGGGTTCTTTGATGCTATGATCTAGGATTTTATGGCTTTATTAACAATAATAAACCAAAGAACAGAACAGAAGGAAGCGCCTTTCTGGGGAGCCCGGCATCCCATCCCGGGGAGGCGCAGCCTGCGGGAACGGGGCTCCCGGGGCTGCCGTTCCCCTCTTCCCTGCGGAGAAGGGAGCAGGTCCCTGGGAGAGCCACGGGAACGGGCGAGGCAGGCAACGGGAATAAAACCGGGAACGGCGCTGGGAGCCCGGGCACCGGCAGCGGCAGCGGAGGACACGGACCCGAGCGGGGCCGGCACGGATCTGCAGGGCTGCGGCTGCCGCTCCGGCATGCGGCGGGCTCGCCTCGAAGGAGACCCTGCGGGCGGGCAGGGAGAAGGGGAGCACGGGGAAAGCGGGATCGCCGGGGTAGCTGGGATGGCTGGGATGGCGGGGATGGCCGGGATGGCCGGGGCAGCACCGTCCCCACAGCGGCCGCCCCTGCCCTGCCCGCCGCCGCCATCGCCTCAGAGCGCGGGCGCGGGGAGCCTCCTGCTGGCGGGCGGGCGGCGCTGCGGCCTCAGCTCCCTGAGGGCCGGGCCCGGCGGAGCCGAGCGGCGCTGCGCCCTTCGGGCCGGGCACCCTGCCAGGCGGGGTTTTAATCCCTGAATCCCAGCCTGAGCAAGGCTGGAAGGGCACACAGAGGGTGATCTGCTCCCCTGGTCCAGATGTGCCCTCCAGCGCTGGGCAGAGGGGCGGGATCACCGCCTGACCTGCGGGAATTGGAACAGCATCATGAGACCTTCCCAGTGCGGCGCCAGCACCCACCTGCTGGCTTAAACACGTTTAATCTGATCAACAAAGACCACGGTACAAAGAATTCTAATTGACAATCCTAGGATCTTTGTAGGGATCTTTGTCCTTTTAGAAACATAGAACGGTTTGGGTTGGCAGGACCTTAAATCCCATCCCATTCCACCCCCTGCCATGGGCAGGGACACTTCCACTGTCCCAGGTGGATCCAAGCCCTGTCCAGCCTGGCCTTGGACATTTCCAGGGATCCAGAAGCAGCCACAGCTGCTCTGGGCACTTGTGCCAGGGCCTGCCCACCTGCACAGGGAAGGATTTTCCCCTAACATCCCATTTAACCATGCCCTCTTGCTAAAGGCTATTCCCCTTTGTCCTATCACTCCAGACCCTTGTGAAAAGTGCTCCTCCAGCCTCTTTGCAAGCCCCCTTAAGGTCCTGGAAAGCCAAACATGAATATTTTAGAATATTTTGATAGGGAAGAGTGTTGTATAATTTACTGAATTTTTAATACAGTTTTACTTTTCATTCTCATACAGGCTCATCACGTCAGTGGCTGCTGCAGCCTAGCTAATTAACACAGGGCTGGGGGAATGATTAAAGGCAGGCTCTGGCTATCTGCATTGTTCTAGTTTAATTGCTGCTCAGGCAATGATTCAGTGCTGGTTTTGGCAGTCGAGCTGCATTTGTCTGGCACGGTGAAATTCCCTGATATGTCCATGACACTCATCCATTGGGATGGGCAAAAGCAGGAGGGTTTGTAGCACTTCTGGTGGCAGGCTTGTGCAAGGAACAGGTTTTGTTATGTGGGGAAGACCAGGCTGGAGTGGAAGGTGTCCCCTCCATCCCAAGCACTCCAGGATTCTGTGGTTGTAGGAGGGGAGCTCCTGGATGGATTGACCCTTCATGCAAGCACATTGTCCAGCTGATCTGAATCCACCCCTGTTTCCTTTGGATCTCTGCTGCAGCCTTGTCACAGGTCCTCTTTCTCACCTTGTCTCCTTTTGTTCCTGAATTTTTAAAAATTCATGTTAATCATAGGAAAAGAAGGAGCAAAAAGGAATTTGTATGTGGAAAAGTGGTGTAAAGATAGCTCTAAAATCCTTCCAGAAACTAAAAAAAGTTTTCAGAAACAGAGATTGAGATTCCTGGGTTTATCCCAGCCTGTTGCTGTCCCTGTTCCTGAATAAACACATCTTTGATGCCACGAGCTACATTTCATGAC